GGAGACAGATCAGAAAAGGAGTTATTACATGGGGAAAAAAGAGTTATACAAACAAGACAAACCAAAAGATTTAGAGACAGAAAAGTAAAACAAGTACAGATTCTTATCCTTTCATATAGTACCTCTAGTCTTTTCCTACTGTGGAGCAGGTTTCTGTACTACAGGCAGACAATGCCATGGGGTGCCAATCTTACCAATCTGATATAGTGAATAGTACTTGCCCTCACACTTGAACACAGTGGCAAGGGATAATTAGCAGTTCCACCTACTCCCTGAGTTACCTGGCTAAACCATATCCAAAACCATAGCCAATACAACATAATCCATACAGTGATAAAAATAATATTAATGGAAACAGAATAATATGGGCTTTCTGTGCAGATTAGACATGCCATATCAATACAATAAAAGCACAAGAAAACAATTCTGAATTTACCAAAACACAACTTAAACAGAAGTATATGCTATACTTTCATTATAAGACTGTAAAGATTCAAGCACTCTATTTTCTAAAAGATTTCTTTTAAAAAATGTCTTGGGGCTCCCATTGTCAGTTTTTCCCACACTGACAATAAATGTGGAGTCTATCACATACTAGCTTGCAGATATACTTTACCAACAAATGCCCACTGGCTCCAATTAACCAAAAGACAAACAATAGAAGTACAGCAATTATAAAAAAACCTCCAAAACCTAGTTTCACTTCTACATATAACATTTTGCAAAAATGCCATTTAAATTATTGACTGGATTTCATAACAACATATTTTAACAAGACAATATTTACAGGTCTCAGCCTTCTAAACGAAACACCTATTGACCCACCACAGTCTGAGTCTTAGCTGGTCACTGTCCACTGGATTTTAAGGATGAACATTTCATTATTGAAAGAAATTTCACATTGTACACCCATTGAAATTCACTAGGAGTTGGGTATAAAGCTCCTTTGAAACTCCCAGTGTGAATTTATTTTAACCAAGATTGGGATTCATTGACTGTTTCACATGGCCTGTAAATACAATAGCCAGACTACATTTAGAAAACCCAGGGGCAAAAAGCTGATAATCTAGCTCATAGTCCCTCCTAGGGACTATATCTTAGTATGATTGCATTGCTCCTTTAGGTTGTGGAGGGAGGATTCTACTGATTTAGAAATAATTCTCTATGACAATCTCCTTAGGCCTCACTAGGATTTTACGCATTATCTGTATACCTTATGAGTACATTAAGGAAGCTCACAACCATAGACTATTCTTAAACAATAAACAATGGTCTGGAAATCTCAACTTCTATAATTTTATTTGTGAAAATAATTTGAAATATTAATTTTAAAAAGTGTCTTCACTGATATTGAATGAATATCCTAGAATAAATGCGAATGATACTTAAGGCTGATACCAAGTAGGCTGCCTGTTTCTCTACTTTCTCTGCATATCCCTCAGTAGCAGAACAGGACTGCTGTGAATACAATGTAAATTTAATATATGAATTTAATAGCTGTAATTTTAAACATGAAATAAGCAAGATGTGTGGATACTTAATGGATGAGATGGAGAATAAAACTGAAAAACATTATCAGAATGCCTTTACATTAAATCTATGGTGCAGATTCATTTGAATTCTTGATGCAGTCACCCTGTTTCAAAACCTTTATTGTAGAAAGTTGCAAAGAGATGGTTGATTGGAAACTTCTGTTCTCCCTCTTTCATAATGAGCAAATTTTCAATGAAATTAAAAGGTGGGAATTTTTAAAATTCAAAAAGGGTATGGCTTTTCACACAATGTGGAACCCTTTGCTACAAGAAAACAAGGCTGAAAACTTAACAAGAATGAAAAATGAATCGTATGTGACTATCCAGCATCATCTCAATTATGACAAATAGATTTGGAGAGGATATTAAATCTCATGCTTCAATGCTTATGCCATTCTTTAGTTATTAAAGATTAAGATGAAATGAAACATAGGCTCAGATTGTCCTACCGCAGTATTCTTGCACATCGGGTATCATCAGACATTGCTAGAGACAGGATAGTGAAGAAATAAACCACTGGCTTCCACCAACAGGACAATTCCTTTGTTTCTGTATTTCCAGCTATAAATTGCCACCCACCCACATACACTGCTGCAACTGGCTGCCCTGATAAGTACCCAGGCCTCTACTGCCCCCTTTTTTCCTTTTATTTGCACTCTTTATCCGTGAGCTCCCTTGCACAGCTATTTCAATAAATATCACCTGTGTCTTCATTCCTCACTTGACCACAGCTCCTTGTCATGCTCCCTGGGCCTTGGGAACCCAAAATTGTGGATCCAGACACTGTGGATCTGCCCTTCCTCAGTTAATCAAGTACACTGCAGACTTCAGACATGTTCAGGCTGTTGATGTTTATTGGATTTATCTTTATGAAAGAAAGGAATGCAGAAAAATGACAAGTCACCCAGCTATAGGTCATTCCCCCAAAGTATAGATTCAAGCACTCTGTTTGCCCTACTATTTGCCTACTGTAAGGCATGCCGAGCCAGGTGCTCACTCTATCCCCTAGTATCAGAAACACAGCACTTCAAACAATTGTGAAACTGGTTCCTAATCAGTGACATTTTGGAATGGTTAAAGTGTTTTGTGTGTCTGTACCCTAAGAATGAAGGAATGAATACTTATGTTGACTTAATGGCATACTATAATCTACCAAAGGTGATAATGACCCTCTTTCCTTTTGAGAGGTTTGTGATTTGATTGTCTGTTACTCCTGGGAATTTCTCTCTTCTCCAATTTCATAATGCCACAGACTGTTTTTTTAATCCTTGCTGTGCCTGAAAGCTTGTCTATCTCAATCATGTGGTTAGTCCAATAAAAGATAATGCCAACAAAAATCCTAACAGGATATGTATGTTTATTGTGGGGGAGGTCCTTTACCATTTTTTTTTTTTTTGGCTCATAAGAAGAAAGCAAAAGGAAATCACCTCTCTCAGGATTAGTTGACCTTTCAGATAAAATCAGAATTTAATCAGGGGCTAAACAGAAGCAGACTCATTCTGATCTCTCTCACACAAAGGTTCCTAAATTATGATCCGCTAAACACACCTGTGATTTGTGGATAGCTGTCTGGTTGACTATGTAGTATTGGCTCTTTTCCTAGTTTCCAGATGGGTACAGATGGGAAAGGGAAATGGAGAGCAAAAGGATACAGTGCGATTAAATAGTTTTTCAAAAACAGCAAAACATTACTTTACTTATGACAGGTACAAACTACATCAATACTTTCCACATATTACTTGTCCAGGTAACCAATTACTCTAGTTTCCACAGGTGTGTTGTGTGATTATGGACTCAAAAGGTTCCCAGAAAGCAATGGGACTACATACTAAAAGTAAACATATGCTTGAACGCTCTGTTGGGTTAGGGCCAGAGTTCAGCATCATGAAAGATGGAGTTCATATTGAAGGATAGTTAACAGAATTGTGCTTGAGCACTTAACTTCTCATTGTCTTCATTAAAAATACTTAAATCTATGGATTTAAGGAGTGATGTTATAGGCTATTGATTATATTGCATGCTTTTTCATAAAAAAACATACTCTGTGTTTTACAGTAAATGATAGACTGCTATGTTGGAAAGAGCCATTATTGTCTGTTGAGTAACTAAAATAATGCTTTATAATTCTATATGCATGATAAAAGTTTTTAAAATGTTCTTTGAACCTATTTATATATAAGAATTGTTATAGGATCCATGTTTGTTTGTTGTGGAAACAAAGGTCTTTAGAAATTTTCTCAATGTTATGTGCTTCTCGGATAATGATAATTTCTATTTTTTTATTTTTAAAACAAAGAGATGCATCTTTCTAAGATACTATATACTGCATATCTGTCTAAAACTCAGAAGTTGCAGCAAATTTTGCTGAGTTAGGTTGTATGGCTACTGCTACACAGGAAGTTGGTCTAGATGATCATTACAGTCCCACCTGGCCTTAAAAATCTATAAATATCACAACCATTGGTCAGATTTCATTATCAGATGTAGACCCCCTCCCCCCCACACCGGTGTACCACTGAAGAGATGCAAAGGAGGGTGGAAATTTCCAGTCAGCCAGTAGAAAATTCCCTTGTTAGAGCAGAATGATCCATTTTAATAGGGGTATGAAGACTGTGGGCCCTGTTCTTGTTGTCTTTATCCACTGTGGTATCAAAGTGTTTACCAGAGGGAGAAATTGTAGTCAGTGGCCACATAGACATGAAACGCTCACTGCGCAGTACCATTGTGTGGCAGAAAGTGTAATGTGATGCTACTGCACTGTAGTGTCAAGCTACTGCACAGTCAGTAGCACAAAAAAGCCATTCAACGGCACTACTGCACAGTAACTCAGGTTATTGAACAGTCAGCATCTTATGTAGATGTAGCCAGCATGTTGGAGGTCTACTCTGCCTATGCTCCACAGGCTTATTATGGACTGTGTGTCCCAGGCTCTGGTTGGAACATCAAGGAAGCCTCTTTGATGTCAGGTAAGTTGTAACCATGACAAAAACAGAGTTAGAAATGTGTTACTCATGCACTATATATCTGCCATTCTGCATCAAGTATCGCTTAAGCATAGTGGACCAAACTAACTCAATCTTTGAATCACAGCCTTATTCTTTTTTAGGAGAAGCAAAGGAATGAAACAGTATTAGAGAACTCATAAGGGGAAAAGAGATTATGTAAATTTCTCCTTTCATAAGAAATTTGTAGCATAAAACACAGGAATTTCCAGAGAGGAAACAAAAATTTGAAGTGTATGGAGTATAAACAACAACAGTAGAAGCGGACTCAATCATGTTAGAATTTTTTCTCCATGTTTACAAAATAGTATGGACAAAAGACAGATTCACCCACATCAGCTGTTACTAAAAATGTAGATGCAAGTTGCCAAAAATGTGATCCTTTGACAAAAATATAAGTGCATTTTTATATATATACTTTAACAGTAACATTTAAAATATCTAAAGAAAAATAGCAGTGGAATGAAATTAGAGGCTAAGGCTGTGACCAGGCATAACATGTAGGCCAAATACACATATTACATTTTTACTGGTGTAAGTGATTAGAAATTCATTTATACCCACAATAGAACAGACATTTGGCACATAGAGACTGGTTTAAAAATGGTGGAACCCAGCCTAAGGGCTCAGACAGACATGACAATTTTCACCTGATCTAGCCCCATAAAGTGGTCTATAGGCATATCCAAACACAAGTATATGGCTGCAGACCACTTTAAAAGGGCCAATCTTTTGACAGCCTGAACCTTGAACTCATTGCAGGAGGGTTCAGATAAAGGCACTTTACAATGGACCACCTCCATTAATTTCTGTCTGTGCGTGCCAGGAGCAGGGCTCAGCTGATGCAGCCCAGTGCTACTCCCTGCACTGTTTTCAGAATGGGGGGAGTAAAAGGGGGGAAGGGAAAGCGGAGGAAAAACAGCAGGAAAGTACCCACTGACATTGTCTCCCTTCCCTCCTCCTATGGGGAGCAGGTGCAGCCCTGTGAGATGGGGCTGCAAAGTAACATTGGCATTCAGCTCTGCTCCCCATGCCCTGATGGGAGGGAAGGAAAATGAGGAAAGAGGGAGTGAAATTGCAGGTTTCAGCAGCCCCCTAGGAGACTTACACTCCTAATGGGGAGAAGAGAATCTGATTCTATCTTTTCACTCACACCTTCAATTTCCAATAGCTGAACGGTCCAAGAATGAATCTTATGAATCGATTCTACAACTGATGAATTCCAAACCAATGTAACAAAAACAATAGCATTTAATCAATTTCTGGGCATGAAAATGTTGAATGTAACTTAGTGGGCTGAACTCAAGCTTTGTGTAAGTGAGTTTTCCACTCAAGGAAATCTCCAGATGCAAATCTATGATGATATATGCAAAGGTGAAGGGTGATAAAAAGCACTGGCTCTAAAAAGGCAAATAGTTTTGTGTACGATTATTGGATATTTACCAGGTGTTGAGAAAAGGGAAGGTAGCTTTGTGGCTCAGGTATTCAGTTAAGACTCAAGACATAAATCTAGATTTGATACCTGATTCTACTACAATTTCCTCCACATAAGCTTAAAGAAGATATCTGAGAATCTTGATTCAGACTATTAGAGACTACAGCATTAGATATTAAAATCGTGGAAAACAAGTGTAATCTACATGGGAAAATGAACATGCAGAAGGAAAAGTGCTAACAGAAATATGCCGGAAAAGTATACTCTTTATTGTGCAACCTCCTGTGAGTTGCCTTTCCTGTTCCACTCTTCCCTTCAATTCCTCAGCATATAAATTAAACTCATGGTTTCACACACCCATTGAATGCCAAATCTCTTTCTGCCTTTACTCTTATGTATATCAGGTGTTTGGGGAACAATAGCAGCATTCATAGACTATAATAGTAACATTTAGAGGTATTTGTCTTTTCAGAGTTTTCTGACAGATTCATTACTACTTCATTAGCCTTTAGTGGGTAGAAACATTCAGTAAACAAATGAGAGGAACTCTATTTAAAATCTAGAGAGCTAAATATGGCTCTTCAGTTCAGCCTGCTAATTATCCAGAGTGATGTACATGCTGAAACTAGTCATACTTCCCAGTGAAAAAATCAATTTTAAAATGTCTTGTCCTAAAATGCTTAAAGAAAGATACATATATGAATATTGGTTCTCTTGTCTGAGTGTCAGCGGCTACAAAGATGTAAATGTTCATACTGTTCCAGGATTATCTGTGCTTTATTACTTCACAATAGGTCAACAAATCTGGAGGTCCTTTAAAAAAAATCTTTACCTTTCTTTCACTGTATTTCCTGTTACTATAACAAGCCACTCACACTACTAGAGGGAAATGTTCATTTTAAAACAAAATAGAAGAAAGCTGAAAGAAAAAAAAAGAAAGAGTAGGCACTCCTGCTTTTGTTTCAGAAGGTATCTAGTATTTCATGGAGAAAACAAGACAGAGCCTTGAGTAACAAGAAAAGATGATGAGGGATCGTTGTCCCTACAATAGGGAAGGCAGGAGCTAGGAACAGATACTTTTAGTAGAAGAAAGCAGAGGAAACAGATTTCTCACCAAGGATATTATTG